AATGCTAATTGAATTGAGTTGGACCTGGAATCAGGAAGACCTGAGTTCAAACCCTGCCTCAGATATTTAACAGCTGTTCGATCCCAGGCAAGTCACTTAACCTAGGTCTCCCCCAGCTTCTTCATCTATAAAATGGGGATAATAATGGTAACTCTATCCCAGGGTTTTTATTAGGATAAGACAATACTCATAAAGTGCTTTGCAAACCTCTAAAGTACTATATAAATGGTAGCCATAGAAATTATTTTTATACAGATACATATACATTCATGTTTGTATGTATGTAAAACACATTTATATATAAACACATATACACCAGGGTGTGTGTGTGTGTGTGTGTGTGTGTGTGTGTATGTTCAGTTCTGGGGACCCAGTTAGGGAAGATACTTGCAAACTGGAGCATATCTAAAATAGGAATTCTTAACCTGGGATACATGAACTTATTTTAAAAATGTTTTGGTCACAGGGCAGCTAGAAGGCACAGTGGATAGAGCACTGGCCCTGAAGTCAGGAGGACCTGAGTTCAAATCCGGCCTCAGACCAAACACTTGACACTTACTAGCTGTGTGACCCTGGGCAAGTCACTTAACCCCAATTGCCTAAAAAAAAAAGGCAAAAAAAAAAGTTTTGATCACCGTATTTCGGTAGAACTGGTTTCCTTTGTGATACTATGTGTTGTATACATTTAAAACATTATTACTTTTTTTTTTTGTAAGGCAATTGGGGTTAAGTGACTTGCCCAGAGTCACACAGCTACTAAGTGTTATGTGTCTCAGGCTGGATTTGAACTCAGGTCCTCCTGACTCCAGGGCCAGTGACCTATCCACTGCACTACCTAGCTGCCCCCTAAAACGTTATTCTGACAAGAGGTCCCCTAATCATGGCCAGGTGGCTCCCTGACCAACAAAGGTTAATCTAGGTCTAGAAGATGATAATCAGGATGGTGAAGGGACTGTGAACAGAGTGATACAAGAATTAACTGAAGGATCTGTGGATGTTTGCTCTGGACCAGAGAAGCCTCCATGAATCTGAAGGCTTAACAAATGGTAGAAGAATTAGACGCAGTTTACTTGGCCTATGAAAAGTAAATGAGGACTCATGAATGAGAATTAAAGGGAAGTAGTTTTAGTTCTGTTATAAGCAAGGACTTCCTAATGTTTAGAACTGTTTGAAAAGGGAATGGGATGCTGGTGGTGTTGAAAAAGATGGCTGGATTTGGAATGAGAGTATTTGTGTTTGACTCCCAGCTCTGCCCTGTATTAGATGTGTGCCTGTGGGCAGGTCACCTGAACTGTCTGAGCATCGTTTGCCACATATGCAAAATGGGGCTAATAGCATCTACCTACCTCACAGGGCTGTAGAGATCAGATGATACAACTTAAGAAAAGCATTGTATGTGTCAATGCTTTATGCTTAGCATGGTGCATGGCACATAGCAGGTGCTTAATAAATGCTATCAGTTATTATTATTGTAAAAAAGTGAGTTCATTTGTTTGCTGAAGGTTTTCAAATGTAGGTTGGTGGGGGGAAGGGCACCAAGGATCAATTGTCCAAAGTCCAATGTTCAGTTCATGCTCCATGAAAGCACTGGACCAAATAAATTCTGAGATCCCCTGATCCTACATAAAAAATATTATGCAGAAAAGGCAATGTTGCATAGTAGTTAGGGAGCCAGCCTTGAACCAGGAAAACCTGGGTTCAAAGCTTGCCTCTGACACTTACTGGTCTGTGTGATTCTGGGCAGTACTATTCTTTCCATTCTCTTTCTATGGCATTTCAGTGGAATTCAGTGGACAGACCTCTGAACCTGGAGTAGAAAGACCTGGGCCTCAGTTACCCATCAGTAAAATGATTTATTCTGGATAGACACTGTGTGTGTGTGTGTGTGTGTGTGTGTGTGTGTGTGTGTGTGTGTGTGTGTGTATCAGCTGGGTGGTTTAGTGAATAGTGTTTGGTGCATATCTTCTAGGCATATAATTATTTTCATGCTGTGTCTCCCATTAGAATGGGAGCAGGGACCATTTTTTTCCCTCTTCCTTCATACCTTTAACACTTAGCACAATGCTTGATATATAGTAAGCAATGAATAAATGCTTATCAACTGACATAGTAGGTGCTTTTATTAAACTTTTTAAGTCTATAAAATTTCAAAATGTGTACTGATCTGCAGGGATAAAGCAGGTTTTCTTGCCCAAGTGGTTCCCATACCAATGAAATTATAGGTTCATCACTCCCCTCAAAATCAGGCAGCTCTTCCATCTCGCTATTAGCATGAATGTTAGAGAGACAATTATAGACCTTTTTTTAAAAAAAATCATACAAAAGCATAGTAGCCCCCCCCAATCATATGGAAAATGTACTCCTGAGCTCTATGAGAGGGTAATTAACTGTTTTTCATATAATCATTCATTTCTGAAATACTTTCAAGCAGCTAAGGGGTGCATTGGAGAGGGTTCTGGGCCTGGAATCAAGAAGAGCTGAATTCAAATCCAGCTTCAGACACTAGCTGTGTGACCCTGGGCAAGTCACTTGATTGCCATTTGCCTCAGTTTCCTCATCTATAAAATGGTGATAATAATAACGCCTACTATCCCAAGGCTGTTATGAGGCCCAAATGAGATAAGAATTGTAAAGTGGTTAGCGCAGTGTTTGGCACACGGTGATATAAGAATGTTAGCTGTTATTGCTACTATTAATTAAGTGCTAATTCAAAATGAATTATAATCATTGATGCAAAAGTTGATAAGTGTTTCTTTTAAATATTTAGTATTCACAGGGAATATAAGTACTTCACTATATAGACAGAATAGGAAGTTAAAGTTAAGTCCCAGATCGGGGGACTGTATTAGTCTGAATCCAAATAAAAGGAAAGGAGGACAAAGTAGAAAAAAAAAAGGCACACAGTATCATGTATTTGAAGTTAGAAGGGAGTCAGATAATCAATCAGTCAATCAACCAGCACTTATTAAGCACCTACTATGTCAGTCAATAAGCATTTATTCATTGCTCACTATATATCAAGCATTGTGCTAAGCGTTAAAGGTATGAAGGAAGAGGGAAAAAATGGTCCCTGCTCCCATTCTAATGGGAGACACAGCATGAAAATAATTACGTGCCTAGAAGATATATGCACCAAACTTTATCCACTGAGTCACCTAGCTGAATTCCACTGAAATGCCATAGAAAGAGAATGGGAAGAAACAGAATTCATTCTCATTAAACATTCAGCTGTGTTTGCATCTTGCCAATCACCTTGATTCACCCACTAGATGCCAACCCCCTCCCCCACCCCCCCCACGAGACAGAGAGAGGGTGAGGGAGAGAGAAGAGAAGAAGGGAGGGAGAAGGGGGAGACACAGAGAAAGAGACAGAAAGAGAAATAGCTCGCATTTATAGAATACTTTTAAAAATTTTTATTTGTTTTATTTTTAATTTATGGAATAAAATAAGCATTTCCGTAACAGAGTATAATAAAAATGATTGCACATGAAACAGCAAATCTATTATGTGTAACTTGCTATTCTTTTAAAATATATGATAAAATTATTATGTAAATTTGTTTTATTTCCCTTCCCCTACCCCCACCCTAGAGATGGATACTATATACATATATATACACAATACATATATACATATACATATGTACACACATGCATACATACATACATATGTGTAAAATCATTCTATGCATGCCTCTATTTATCAGTTCTTTCTGTGAATGCAGATAGCGTCTTCCTTTATATGTCCTTTGCAGTTAATTTGGGTAGTGATGATAGTCAAAATGACTTAGTCTCTCAACGTTGTTCTTAAGACGGTACTGCTGTTACTGTATACAGTGTTCTCTTGGTTCTGCTCGTTTCGCTCTTCATTATTTCATGCAGGTCTATCCATGTTTTTCTAAGATCATCTGAGCTCATCATTTCTTATAGTACAGAAGTATTCCATCACCATTTTATACCACAACTTGTTCAGCCATTCCCCAATTGACGGCATCCCCTTAATTTCCAGTTCTTTGCCACCACAAAGAAAGCTGCTATAAATATTTTAGAATATATAAGTTCTTTTCCTTTTTCTCTAATCAACATGGGAAACAGGCCTAATAGTGTTATTGCTGGGTCAAAGAGTGTAGGTGTTAAATAACTCTTTGGGCATAACTCAACATACCTTTTTCAGAAAGGTTTTTAGCACATTTTAAAAAAATTTTATTAATTTATTTTAATTTATCAACAATCACTTCCATATGCCTTTGAGTTTAAAATTTTTCTCCCCCTTCCTCCCCCCACCCTTCCCAAGACAGCATACAATCTGATATAGGCTTTACATTTACGTTCCTATTAAACACATTTTCACATTAGTGAAGTTGTAAGTAAAAATTAAAACCAAATAGGAGGAACCATCAGAAAGATGAAACAAAACTCAACAGAAGGTAAAAATAAGTGATAGCGATTCAACTTCCATAGTTCTTTCTTTGGATGTGGACAGCATTTTCCATCCCGAGGCCTCTGGAGATGTCTTAGATCCTCGTAATGCTGAGAAGGGCTCAGTTTAACAATATTAGTCATCACATAACGTGGTTGTTATTGTGTACAGAGTCCTCTTGGTTCTGCTCACTTCACTCAACATCAGACCATTCAAGTCTTTCCAGGTTTTTCTGAAGTCAGCCTGTTCATCATTTCTTATACCACATTTTGTTCACACTAATTCTGCGCTATACATGGTGCCAGGATTACTATCCCCATTATACACACGAGGTAACTGAGAGTCAGAGAGGTGAAGCAATTTGCTTTTCTGTTAAATATGGCCAATAAGTGTCAGAGCTAGGATTTTAACCCAACTTTAAGCCCAGTGCTTTTTGCATTACATGACACACACTCTGGTTCTGCATATGAATTTCTAATTTGGCTGCCCTGCCCCAACTATCCCCTAACTTCTCCGTTATCTTCCTGCCTCCCATTAAACACTAAAGTGTTAACTTTGTGTCCTGGCCTCTCAACCCACAGGAGAGTGAAGATCTGGAGAAACAAAATGCAGCTCTCCGTAAGGAGATCAAGCAGTTGACGGAGGAAATGAAGTATTTCACCTCAGTGCTGAGCAGCCATGAGCCACTGTGCTCCATCTTGGCCACCACATCCTCACCACCCCCTGAAGTGGTCTATGGAGCCCACACCTTCCACCAGTCCCACGTCAGCTCCCCGAGATTCCAGCCCTGATCCTACCACCATGAGAAGAGCATTAGAGACTCTGACATTCAATGGCAGAGATTCCTCCCTAGGATTTCCAGTGGGAGAGTCCGCAGAAGACACAAAATTCTGGTGAAGGGAACATAAACTGTTTTCACACCAGCAGCCTCATCCATCTCCTGCTGAATTATCTCCCCTCTCGAGAAAGAAGGAGGTGGAGAGTGGGGTGCAGATGACATGAATGACTGATGAGGGTAGGCATGGAATGCCAGAACTTCTTGCCTTGTGTGCCCAGCACACAGTGTGTATCCGTACCTTTTACTGAATGTATGGCCAATGGATATGAAGAGCAACAGAGACAATAGAATGGAAAGAGATTTATTTTTCTAAATAAAAGGTAAAAGAAGTAAATTTCAAAAAGGGATGATTTCTCCCTCCATTTTCCCCCTTTGACTTTCTGATCACAAAGTTTCTTTTCAAATGGACCATATAAACTCCAAGAGGGCAAGAACTGTTTCACTTCTGTTATTGTATCCCCTAACAGTATCTGGCGTGCATAGCAGGTGCTTAAATAAAGCTTGTTGATTGACTGATCCCCCTCTTATGGAGGACATCTCACCCTGGCAAATAGCCGTGTCTCAACCAGGGATTCTGGATTGAAATGTTAATGTAGCCTTTCTAGTGGTTCCCAATCTTTGGGATTGGACCCCAGAGGGGCCACTGTTTGCTTGTAAGCAGTATACAAATCTATAAATAACATGCCTTATATTGACTGAATAAATGCAACACACACACATGCATACATGTTATACACTATACACAAAGACGTAATGTACATTTAATATACAGGGTATCTCAAAAATCTTAGTGCAAAAGTATTAAGCCGTGAAGCCCCCCAAACTGCATTAAGACTTTTGGAATGCCTGTATAGCATCCGCATATTTTCATTTTCGCCCGTGTATGGGCATGTTATTTCAATGGGTCTGGAATCTCATTGATGTGAGCATTCCCTCCATCCATTCAGGTCACAACCCACCCATACCATCTCATCATCCTGTTTGAGTCTTGTCCATGTTTTCCCATAAGTCATAGACAGTGAATCTAGCATGTATGTTACTGTTTCATAGGCTGTCAGTCTGTGGTCTCTCACTTTCTCTATGTAATAGGTCCACTTCCTTTGTGAATCACACATGTACTGGATATTACCTCTAAAGTCACTTTTTGTCCACACGGTGCATAGGTCCCCAGTGGAAATATTGCAGCCCTCTGGCAACCCATTAGATAGCTCTCCATTGTACTTTGGATTGGTTGCAACTTTTAGTTTTAAAGTTTCTGTTGCATGAGGTCACTCCCTTTTGATAAGGGCAACTACAAAGATAATGGACCTGCAATAATTAGCATCAAGCAAGGAAGGAAATAAAGATGCATGATCACCAAAGGTGTTCATCACCGTCATAATAGTTGACACTTATATAGTACCTTAATGTTTACAAAATGTTTCTCATACTTCACCAAAGCCCTAGGAGAAGTAGATAGGGGCCACAGGCTTTATTGTGACCATTTTACAAATTTGGAAATTGAGGTTCAGAGCAGTAAAGTGACTTGTTCATAGTTATACAAGTAGTGTCAGAGGCAGGATTCAAACTCTTGTCCCCCCTGATTTCAAGTCAAGACTTCTTTCCAGTATGCGTCACTATCTCTTGATCCATCATGGAAGATACCTTCCATGAAATGTTCCAGATGGAAAAGGGATTTTCTCTAGATGTAAGGTCCTCCAGGTGCTACTGAAAATATGCTAATTGCCGCAAATCCTAAAACTTCAAGGCCTCCTCAGTGAGATGCATAATCACTCAAAAGAGATTGGTTTAACAATCCCTACAAGGAATTTATATTTTTCAAATGTCTGCAAATGCTTTTGTGAATAATATAATACAAATGTGTTTAAAAGTGTGAACTGAATTCATAGTGTATTTTTGTCCTGATGTGTTGTCTCAATGGATATTAGCAGTAATAATAATGATAATTTACATTTGTAAAGTGTCTAAGACTGAACTAACTGTCTTTCACCCTCAAACATGCTGCTCTTCTGGGCAGCTGGTGGCACAGTGGATAGAGCTCTGGGCTTGGAAATCAGGGATACTCATCTTCCTGAGTTCAAATCAGGCCTCAGACACTTACTAGCTGTGTGACTCTGGGCAAGTTACTTAACCCTATTGCCTAGCCAAAAAGAAAAAAAATAAAAATAAAAATATCATCATGGCTAAATATTTACTAGTACTTTAGTTGTTCGGTTCTTTTCAGTCATGCCTGATTCTTCATGACCCCATTTGGGGTTTTCCTGGCAAAGATACTGGAGTAGTTTGCCATTTCCTTCTCCAGCTCATTCCAGGCGCAGCACTGTATCCACTGTGTCACCTAGCTGCCCTAACTACTCCTACTATTATTATTAACTAGCTAATTATCTAACAACAACAACAACTACTACTACTACTACTACTACTACCACTACTACCACTACCACTACTACTATTACAACTACTACTATCATTTCCTTGTGTCCCTTTGTTTGTGGCTTGAGGGATGCTCAGAGTTAGCTCTGGGAGACATATGAAAGGGAGAGTGATCTTTCCTAGTGCAGGGCTAATATTCCAATCCCTAGCCTAGCCCATTGTTAAAGGGTTTTCTTTCTCTAACTGAAGGCATCCTCATGATCCTTTCATATGTTTCACAACTACACTCCTAAAGGCAGAATTACTGTGGACTTTGGGGCCTTTGAAATCCACCTCATTAGACTAGGAACCTAACCTGTTGTGATCCCCTTGTGGTTACAGGTGGATTGTAGAGGGGCACCTTTTTATGCATGGGTTGGTCTAGATGCTCTCTGGGGTCCCTTTCAACCCTGATATTCCATGATTCTGTGATTTCCTCAACATCACTTCAGCTCTTCATTCACTCATTCAACAGTAATTTATTAAAGTACCTACTGTGTGCCTGGCACTGTGCAAAGTAATGGAAATATTCCCCCCCAAAAAAAAAGGAAAAAAAAAAGGAAAGAATCAATCCCTGCCTTCAAGAAGTTTACATTCTATTGGGGGGGGGGGACACAACCTGAACACAGATACATAAGAATCAAATAAAGGCAAAGTAACTTTGGGAGGGGCACAATCAGTTGGAGGGATCAGTCTAGGCTTCAACAGCCAGCAGTAAGTCAGAACAGGGACGGTGCAGTAATAGAGAAAGTCTTGGCAGAGGAAAACTAAGTGGAGTCCTCCCATTAATGAATGGAGCTGGATCAGATGCCCTGGTGATTTTGGCCCATTGTACAAAGCCACCACTGGCGTGGTGTGGATTGGGTCTAGATCTTCAGCAGCCATCCTCGTGGACAGCTATGTGGACATAAGTTTGGCCTGTGGGTATGCAAGCCCCTGGAGGGCTTTAGAAGCACTTGGTGATCTCTGAGGAGCAGGATAGATACCAGAATTGGAGCATACAGCATGTCCTGGATTCAGGTGGTACAATAGCTTATAAATCTCAAATAGCTTTCCTCAAGGCCATCATTGTCTTGTGCCTAGACTCATTCCTGGGTAACCAACAGCAGCAGAGCTTTTTTTTTTTTTGGTTAATCATATTTCACCAAGCAAGGGAGATAATATTTGGGTCAGTAGGACAGGAAGAACCAAGTTTAGACAGCTTGGATGCAAGCTGCAGGTTGCGTGTTATGGACACAGTTGTTTGTCTTTCATTCCCAAAAATGACCATGACATCAGGGAGGTTATACCATGACACGCAAGTAAATTGGATTTGAGGGAGGGAGGGCTGTGCAAAATCACCAGACTCACTTTCTCCTCCAAAGCCATCTGAGTTGGGAAGATATGGATCAGGAGGACTGGAGACGGCCTTGGATGCAGTGGGAGACCTCAGCCCTTTTAAGTTTGGTCTTTAACAGGTCTCAGTTTGACTGAGGCAACACCCATCCAGTGATTAAGAGGCCATTCTCTGCCTCATATCTTATGGACACTGACGACTGGGGGAAAGCCTTTAGAGAAGTTTAGTGAGTGGAAGGTGACTTAGTCATAGAGACTTAAGAATTACATTAGATGATATATGGTGCAATGGATAGACCACCAGGCCTGGAGTCAGAAAGATCCGAGTTTAAATCTGGCCTCAGACACTTACTAGCTGTGTGACCCTGGGCAAATCACTTAACCCTGTTTGCCTCAGTTTCCTCATCTATAAAATGAACTGGAGAAGGAAATGGCAAACCACTCTGGTATCTTTGCCAAGGAAACCCCAAATGGGATCACAAAGAGTCAGATATGACTGAAAAGAATTGAACAGCTAAAGTAATAGTAGTAAATATTTCGCATCTGAAAGCACTATGTGAATGCTAGCTATAATGATATTTTATGACAATTTTACCATCAAAATTTATTATTAATAATATAAATGTCAACAATTATCATATGTTAGCAATTGTTATTATAGACACTAGTCATATAATGTTTTAAGATTGATGAAGTACTCTATAGATACAATTGCACTGGGTCCTAACAGCTGAGGAAACTGAGGCAGACAGATTGAGTGACTTGCCTAGGGTCAGATTTGAACTCAGGTCTTCCTGATTCCACACCTAGCACTCTATCCACCGGGCCATCTCACTGCTTCACATCAACCACAGGTGTTTATTAAACATAGGATTAGATTCATCAGATGCCTACTTGAAGAGAATAAAAGAACAAGAACGTGCCTAGAAATAGGTACATAGATATGATGTCGGTCATACCCATTTTAGGAAAAAGTGTAACTACCGATGTTTTTCCTCAGGGCTCCAACCCATTAAGCAAGCTACAAAAATGACAAAACTCCAGAATTATATATACACCTTCCCACTTTAGCTTTTGTCTTTCTAGTGTTCCACTAGAAGAAGAGTGATGTCACCAGAGCTTCGCCCGAAGTTGTACTGCTCCCCATGTTGGAGAATCCCTGCCACCTTTCCCTTCTCTGAGCGTTGTCTCTCCTCTCTCTCAAGAGACCCTTAAAACTGCCGATATAGGAGGAAGGAAACCCCACCCATTGGTCCTGATTTCATGTTATCTTCCTCTCTTCCCATTCTGGGAATTACCAGAATCTTTAGGGACTTATGCTTCCTTGCAAGATAGCCAGTCTAAAACTTTCCAGAAGACCCATTATACATCCAAGAAGTGTCTGTCCATCCCTTCACTTGAAAACCATCCAATTATGGGGAACCAGGTATTTCCCAGGGCAGCTACGCTGTTTTCCTTTTGGAAAGGGCTTAATTGTTAGAAGTTTTTTCCTGACATCAAGCTAAATCTGCTCTGTTGTAACTTCCACCAATTCTTCCAAATTCTACCTTCTGGAGCCAAACAGAAAAAAGTGTAATGTCTTCCACGTGAGACAGCCTTTCAAATTCCTCAAGATAGCTATGATGTTTTCCCCTCTCAGTCTCCCCCTCCCCAACCCTTTGACCCCGCAAGATTCTTTCCCCTAGGCTAAACAGACTCAGTTCCCTCAGCCTTATAGCAAGAAGTCAAGGCCCTTCAACACCGTAGGGACCTGCCCTTGGACATTCTTCA